AATGCCCTTCTGGAGTCCTGCTCTTCCATCTCTGAGCTGTTTCATGAACTCTGTGTTAACTTGAATCTGTCAAGATCAAAAACACTTCCCTCCAGCTCCTCTGCTGCTTGGTTTTATCTTCCCTCTATGCCTGTGAAATTCCTTATTAGCAAACCCCTCTCCTGCTCACTACCCTGGCAGTGGGGTTGTTTTCCAAGGGTTTGACACCTGATGGTGTTGAACATAGTCTGTGAAACCTGGACAAACCTGCTGCTGCTAAGAATATCCCCCATCTCCTCATCTGGTATCCATATGGACTTGTTCCATCCCCTCTTGGGCAGAAATCCTCTTTTGGGATCCAGCTCTGCAAAAAAGCAAATAGCTCTGGTGCTCAGAGCTGAGGGTCTGAGGTCCTGCCCTTACAGGGTCTTGGACTGTGGACTGTCATGCACTGGGCTGAAGGTAGGTAACCCCCCCTCCCAAAGGCTTGAGAAGCCCCAAATTGTAGGCAGAGCTGGGGTGGCACTGGGGGACAGGGCTGCCCTGGGTACAGGGACCACTCGGTACTAGCTGGGTGGGAGGTGCAGATGGGTCTTCAGGATAAGACACAATGAAAGCTGGAGTACCCAAGGCAAAGGTTTATTTTTGAAGTGTGCATACTTAATATCATCAGATGGTTTGGATTGGAAGGGACCTTAAAGACCATCTCATTCCACCCCCTCCCACCAGCCCAGGCTGCTCCAAGCCCCATCCAACCTGCCCTTCAACACTGCCAGGGATGGGGCAGCCACAGCTTCCCTGGGCAACCTGGGCCAGGCTCTCACCACCCTCATAGTAAAAAATGCTCTCATTATGTCCATTCTAAGTCTGCTTCTGGTTTAAAACCATTGGCCCTTGTCCTATCACTACAGGCCCTGCTAAAAATTCTGTCTCTGTGTTCCTTAAAAGCCCCTTGATTTATCAAGAGACCAAAATACAGTCTCCCTGGAGCCTTCTCTTCTCCAGGCTGAACAACCACAACCCTTAACCTCTCGCCACAGCAGAGGTGTTCCAGCCCTTGGACCATTGTCGTGGTCTCCTCTGGACCTGCTCAAACAGGTCCAAGTCTTGTGCTGGGACCTGGGTGTCTTTTCTCTCTCCCGTGGTGCCTGGGGACAGCCCAGGAGCAAAAATCACTCTTGGTGCCCCTACCCTTTCAACCAGGAAATTCTACTCCTGTTTGAAGAGGAAACCTGTTACCAACATCAAGCACATACCAAGTGCAAATCCTGCAGTGATGTGCTGAATTCTGCTGGTGGAGCAATGACCTGCTCCAAGTTCAATGGATCAGGTTTGTCTTCAGCACAGCTGTCCTGGATCTGGGCCACTCCTCAATTGGTTGTGCTCCAAGCTGCAGCCTGGGTGTTTTATTTTAAGGGGTCTCACCCCCTTGGACTCACTGTGGGTGTGTTTTGGTGTTTGGGATCACTCTGTAGCCCCCAGGTGTGTGCCAATCTTGACATCCTTGCTCCAGGAGCAGATCTCTGCCCTGGGAGAAATGCTGGGATGCTTTTGGGGTATCCCCCTGGGTATCAGCATCTCCCCAGGTAGCAGGATCACCTGGATACCCGCATATCCCTGGTACCAGGATCACCTGGATACCACTATACCCTGGCTACCAGCATCTCCCTGATGCCAGCATCCCCCAGGTACCAGCATCACCTGGATACGGGTATCCCCCTGGGCATCATCATCCCCTTCCCAGGAAGCAGACCCAGTTCCCGTGCCACGTGGGTGCAGCTGCACACCCATGGGTGCTGCGAGATGCCAATGACAAAACGAAACCAAGCCCTTTTTTCCCCTTTTTCCCAGCATTTGCAGTGACCAGCGGAGGGCGTTCCGAGACCGGGTAACGGGCACCAGCAGAGGCCCGGAGTCCTCAGGGTGAGAGCATCGGTGCCTTCGGACGGGCAAGGACAGGGATGCAAGATCAGACTCCCCTCCTGCCTCTGCACCTCCTCATCACAGGTCCCTACGACGACTGATGAAGGGTCCGTGTCCTGGAGCTGTGGGACCTGAGGCTCCATTAGGAGTAAAAGGGGTATAGGAAAAACAAGAAGTTTGGAGCTCTCCTCACTTAAGAGACAGGAGGTCACAGGCACAGTGTATCCAGTGGGGTAACGTGCCCGGCCCTATGGGGAGCCCCAGTGTTTGGGCAGTTCCCTCCCATGGGATAAGGATGGACCCCGTGGCTGAAGGGAGTCACCCCGAAAGGAACTGTCACCTCCTCCATCCCAGGCAGGACCCATGGGCTCTGGTCGCCCTGATAAGCATAAAGTGGGGCTTGTCAAACCCCAAAACCTGCCTCGTGCAGCAAAATACCCGCTCAGGGTGTTTTCCCCTCTTTTTCCCCTTGTGCTCCCCCAAGTCCCCCCTTTCTCTGAGCTCATACACTTCCCAGAAAGGCAATTTAGTGGCTGCTGGGAGGGGGCAGAAAGCAGCAGGATGGACTTGCTGCCAGCACTGAGTCCTACCCAGCTGCAGTGGTTTCTATGATGGGTGGTGGAGGTGGCACATCTCCCTGAGCCTGGGGAAGAGGGGGAGACAAGGCTGGAGCATAAGCTGTGTGGGTGCCTCCCGGTGTGAGAGCCCCACAAAGAGCTACAGAAAGCCCTGTGGTGGCCTCAGTAGCAGTTTGGGACGTGAAAGGAAGATTGTGTGTGGTGTTCAGGGGTGACACAGCACAAGCAGCTGGCCCCAGGTCCCAGGGGACCCTCCCCTGCCCCTTCCCCACGCTGGGGTAGACACTGTGCCCTTTGTGTCCGTGGTCAGTTGCAGGGAAGAGGGTTATGAAAGGAGTCAAAGTCACTGCTGGGGTTGTGTTTCCACGTGTGTGACCGGGTCCCCAGGACAGCAGTGAGGGTGAGCCTCCTAAATCCCCCCCAAAGCCTCCCAAATTAAAACTGACATGCACCCAATGACCTCCCAAATCTCAACTGCTGCCCTGGACTGCCCCCAGCTCAGCAGGGTGAGAGGCTGCAGCCAGGTTCCTCTGCCCCTTATTAAAGGTTTCTCAGCAGAGGGGAGAAGACCTTTATTTTTTCCATCCAGTAGCCAGAAATGCTGAGTATGGAGCTTTTGGCCAGGACACTGAGTGCCCAGCTTCCTCCTCACTCCCAGCCACCTCTGGCCAGGAGGCCAAAGGTAAATGAGCTGCTCCTTCAGCACAGGTGGTCCTGGGGATGGGGTAGGGGTGGGAGGAAAGGTCTGGTGGTACCCACACTTCCCACCCAGTTACCCCCATCCTGTGTGTAGAGACCCCTGGGATGCCCATGGAGACATCTGATCCATGGGGGACCCTGCATCCCAAGCATCCCCATATTAACTCCAGGCCATGCACACAGCTCAGGTATCTCCCAGACACACAACCAGCCATCCCAAATCCTCCTCCTTTCCCAGTTCAGCTGTGCAGGCCCTTCTAGGAGCTGTGGCTGGGATTTGGTGGCTGGTCACTGACCCCAAGAGGGTTACAACAAACATCTTTCTGCTGAGCTGGCATGTTCTCAGCAGCTCTTCTCCCTGCTACTGAACCCTTGCTCATGCATCCTCCTGCCTGTAACTCTTTGCCCGCTGACCTGCTTTCATTCCTCTCCCCTCTGTGTTGTGCCCAGGTTTTTGGTGGTCTTAGTGTTAAGCAAGGAGAAGGACCAGCCCCAGGCTGGCCATGTCCCCTGGGGCAGCCATTTAATGTGTAACAAGGGACCCGTTGGCCCAGCAAGAAGAGATGACAGATTAACCCAGTTTAGAGCCAAAGAGCAGTGGGTTTGCTGGTAAACTGTCCTGTTGCTGTGAGCTCCAAATGCCTTTAATGAGTTATTATTTAGTTTGCTATGGAGGTTAATGGGGGGACGTTGCAGAAATGATCTGTGATTAATTAAACCACCCTCATCCAGCTGGGCTGGGACCAGCACTGATCCCGGGCTCCAGCATCGCTCCCAGTGCCATCCTGCACCCACTCAATTCACCAGTGATCAATCCAGGCCCTGCAGACCAACAGCCACTTTTCCCAGTGGGAAAAAGCTGCAAGAAACAAGAGTTTTCCCCCCTGTTGGTTTTTTTTCTGTTGGTTGTTGTGGGGTTTTTTTTGCAGCACCCCAAAGCCAGACCTTGTCCCTCCTGCTGCTGTCCCACAGGGGAGGCAGTTGGGCACCTTTCAAGCCTCCTTCCCTGGCCACCCAGTGCTGAGCTGGAGGCAGGCTGTGGCCAAGCTGATCCCGTGGCTCCCCTGGGATCCACAGACACCGACTGGTCCCAGAACAGGGTGTTCCCAACCCTCTTTTCTTCCTTAGAGCTGCTGGTTCAGCTCAGCCCACCCACCCATCCTCCCCCTCCTCAAACCTGTCCCCCTCCAACGGGCCTTAAAACCCTCCTGTGCTGATGGCTCAGCCTTTCCCCAAGCCGGGGAACGGGAATTCCAACGGGAATAACCCCATCGGATCCTGGTCCTTCCCGTCAGGAAGCAGGGGGGGGGGGGACTCTGGCAGATGCTCAGCACCAGAAAGGACCAGCGAGCCGCGCTGCGCCCATCCCGGGCGGGATCCCAAGGGATAACCCAAAGCTGCTCCTTGCGGGGGGTAGTGGGGGCAGCCGGTGTCACCCAGCCCGGCAGGGTGGCCGAGCTGTCACCGCGCCGGTAATAGGGCCAGGCGGTCACTCCTGTTGGGAGTAAACACGGAGAAGCCGAGAAAACAAGAGCAGAGCCGAGTCCCGGCGCTTCCTGAGAAGTCTCGGCACACGCGGGGAAGGGGGAGGGAATGCTCAGCATCCCCTGCTATCCCCCTCCCCATCACCCTCTGCTGTGGACCCAAAATAAAAGCCCTCCCCGGGAAAGGTGCTCAGCGGCAGCCCCTGGAATGGCAGGGGGATGGGAAGGAAACGTTGGGAACCGTGGGATTAAAGAACCAAACAGGTGGTTTGGTGGCATCAGAGCTGGCACGTGGGACAGAGGGGACAGCCCTGGCCTCGAGCTGCTCGGGGACACCAGGCTGTGGAGCTGCAGGTCGGTGGTTTCCAGCAGAAATCCGAGCCCAGCTTTGGCTGGAGGGGAAAAAAAAACAAACCCGACCCTCTTCATTCATTTAAGGTTTTTACTTTAAAAAAAAATGGCATTTAGCACATGCCAGAGCCACCCTGAGCCCAGAGGGAACCAGCCCTTCAGGAACAGGACCCAGCCACCTTGGCACCCTTCAGCCAGCATCTCCCCCGGTGCCCTCACCCCCAGGCACCTCCAGGTGTGTCCCCAGCACAGGAGGGGACACCTGGGATGGGTGGGACGGATCCAGGCTCTTCTCTGACCCCTGGGATGGAGCACAGGGAGGGTCAGGGGAGTGTTCCTGGCTGGGGGAACTGCTGGGGACTTGGCTTCAACATGAAGTGATGCCTTGAGTCATTAGCACTGGCTCCTTGGTTTTGCACTGTCCCTCCAACTCCTGAGCCCTCCCCGCAACAAAGAAGCCTGGAAAGCCGAAGATTTGGGACAAAGAAGGGGCTGAGGGGCCTGCTCAGCACCGGGGCAGAGCAGGATGGTGCCCTCCAGGCACTGCCCTCCACGGGGCCCCATCCCAAATCCAGGGGGATGCTTCTTCATTCCCTCCCTCTTCCCCCCTCCCACCCCTCCCCAACACCATCCCAGCACCCAGAGTAGTTTCTTCACCCCCTAAAAAAACTGAAAACCCCTCAGAACCTTTTCTCCCAGCAGGAAGGGGAGAGGGCAGCTATTATCCTCTTCCAAACCAAACCCGAAATGTCGGGGTCCAAAGGAGGGGGATGGGGGGGGGTGTCACTCCCTTTGCCTTTGAAAAACCAGCTCAGCCTTTCTTCCCATGAAACCCTCTCAGCTCAGAAGTTTCTTCCACGCCCCCTTTTCGTGGTTGTGGTTTTTTTTTCCCCCCTTTTTTTTTTTTTAATTTACTAATCAAGCATCTCAGATCTCCGAGTTGCAACTCATCTCACACCTAAGTGAGACTGCGTTTTGCACAAGCCTTTCAGCTGTTTTTCTCAATCTCTCCTCTGTCTCCTTCTCAATTCAGGCAGTTGCTATAGGTATGTTTTAATCCCCAGCATGGTAGATTTTAATTAGTCTTTGTACAGATGGCCAATTAACATTCATTACTTTTGCCTTGAGCGATTAATTATGAGTTTGGATGGAGAGGGGAGATGGAGACAGAGGAAAAGATGGGCAGGTGAATAAAATAAAAATAAAAGGATTTTAATCAGAGTTTGGGATGTATTTATTTTTTCCTTATCATTAAAATATATGTATATTTATATATATATATGTAGAAAGAGAAGGGAAATGCAGCAGCTCCTG